TCATCCCTAAGGTAGCTCCCACTAACAAACCTTGATTACATTATATATATTTTATAAAACATTTAAATTTCATCCAGACAAGGCAAAAATGTGGCTACAGAGGTTGTTGATTCAAATTCATCTCTTAAACTACAAAGTCAACCCCTTTCAAACTTTATAGAAATGATGAAAAGGATGACCCACAATTAACAATCCCTATTTCATAGTGATGAGGGGCATTAATGGCAGCAATGAAATCATAAAGGCTCATTTGGGATGTCACATTTTTATCCTTTTTTTTTAGGAAATTTAAAGGCTAGTCTAAGGCAGACTAAACAGATATAATTAATGGATAAGTTTTCATAAAAAAAAATTTCATTTGCTAGGATTGGTTGAAAGAAATGACCCCTGAGACGATCTTGGTTCTGATTCATACGAAATAAGGGGATGTGGTATATTAGTTTTACCTTCTCTGGAAAAAGTACAAGACAAAATCTAATGAATGAGAGTCCCTTTTGTAAAGATTCCTCATACTGTGCTTATAGGTGTCACAAGTGGCTGCAATGAGTTCTTGTAAATCCTGTTGAATTATATGGAGAATCAATGGAGTATGGTAACAAAGGCGTTACATTTGCCCTAAAAAACAAAATTTTGTAATACCACATTTAAATACCTATATTTACGATCTTAAATATGCATGTTTAAATAAACAAAATACTTTTGTTGTCTGCTGTTCATTTTAACAACGTTGGCAGCTTTTAGCCAAATTGTCTGTTTTTATGCATATGTAAGATCTATTTCCTTCTGAAAAACATTGGCCACCAAAATAAAATTGTTATAAAATGATGTATGTTTGTCAGATATACATCCTTACAAAAAATTATTGTGGTCCTTGTATGTGGCCAATGTTGTTTGAAGCAAAAACTATTAAAATTTTGGCCAAAAATTAGTCAATTTATGATTTCTTCCTTAGCACAATTATGATGTCATAATGACATCATAATTGTACTAATGTATCAGAGCTTGTTGAATTTGTATTTAACAGATATTTTTACATATTTTGTCTTCAAATTTTTATAATTATAACTAAGGTTAAAATTCACTCAATTTTAGTCCCAATATGGACCCTTCATGAACCTACTTCTTTCCATCTTTGTCAAGCCTGGAACTGCATGGGTACTGCCTGCTAGTCTGAGATAAACTTATACCAGTTAAGATTATAGTATGGAAGCTTTGTAAAATAATGTACTAATTATACCCCCGCTTTAAAAAAGTGAGGGTATACTGTTTTACCTCTGTCCTTCCATGCGTCCGTCCATTACTCCATCGGTCAGTCAGTCCATCCCATGAATATTTTTCGTCGTATCTTTCTCAGGAACTACATCATAAGGATTTCTGAAATTTGGTTTCAGGGTTTATATAAGTCCGCTTTACCATGTGATGCGTTTTCAGATTCATCACTCAACAAGTTCCTGTTGACCGAACACTTACATATTTTCACCCTATTAAGATTTTCCAGTTGCGGCGGGGGTATCATCAGTGAGCACTAGCTCGCAGTTTCACTTGTTAAGATTATTAAATTTTCATCTGAATGACCTGGGAAAAAAGGAAACCACTCAGTAGTCAGTCTGATTGAATTGAAAAAAAAAAAAAAAAGGAAAATTTTATGGAAAGAGCCATGCATCTTGCTACAAATCTTTAAGAGATTGTAATTCACTAAAATGAATGTAGGATAGTGATCATTATTGACTTTGGGCATAGATATGTAAAGCAACACTGGCTCTTTAGAGGCTTTAGTTTACTAAAGTAAATGCTGAATACTGTTATTTATTATTCTATGAATCACGCTGTCCCATCAAGAAAATATGACTGTTTATAACTTATATGAGAGAATTAGCAAAACTGTGATCTCATGCCTGATGGGTCCTTTCTCCATTGAAAACCACTAAATACGACCAACTAGAAAGTTAAAAAATGGCACACTGGCCATTGTATGAAAGGACATTGTTTGAAACAGAAAAACAAATATATACCCTTTGATTACATTTGGAAAAAATATGATTTTATATAGATTTCTTTTGTCTGAAATAACAGAGCCAGGTCTTGTCAAATTGTTGGTGAAAAAACAATAAAGTAGACAAAGTAGTTCCTTCTTTGAACTATCTTGGATAGGTTTATCATGAAGTATTTATAGTTTCTGATGTCAACAACTCAAACAAAGATCTTAATACTGATACATCTCATAGTTGATTGGATGTTTGGCCATGTTACTAATTAGTACCTGTTCGTTGATAATTTTACTAAAACATCTCTGAAAGCTATGAAATTCCATAGTATCATGTGATTGTTGGACATTGTCTGGTTAAAACCTATATAATATACCCGAAATAGTTAATAAACACATTGTAATTACAGCAAGCTATACAAATAAACAACAACCTGAAAACAAGATAACTTATTTCCCATCAACAGCCTGAGAAGAGGATTACTTGTGTCCCCACAACAACCTAGGAAGAGAATTTTTAACGTCCTAGAAACTACCTGGGAAGGCAATAACTTATGTTCAATCAACAAACTGGGAAGAGGATAAATTATGTCCAACCAACATCCTGAAATGAGAATTACCTCTTTCCAAGCAACAACCTTGGTGGAAGTTAACTTATGTCATATCAACACCCTCAAAAGAAGATAACTTGTGTCCCACAACAACCTTACAGAAGATAACTTGTGTCCCACAACAACCTTACAGAAGATAACTTGTGTCCCACAACAACCTTACAGAAGATAACTTGTGTCCCACAACAACCTCACAGAAGATAACATGTGTCTCACAACAACCTTACAGAAGATAACTTGTGTCCCACAACAACCTCAAAAGAAGGTAACATACATCTCAGCAACAAGCTGGGACAATAATAATTTATATCCCAGCAAAAACCATGGAAAAAGATAACTTATGTCCAATCATCAAACTGGGAAGAAGATGACTTGTGTCCAACAAACAACATGAAAAGAGGATAACTTACGTCCTATCAACAACCTGAGAAGAAGATAACTTATGTCCCAGCAACAACCTGGGAAAAGGATATCTTATGTCCCAGCAACAACCTGGGAAGAAGATACCTTACGTCCTAACAACAACCTGGGAAGAAGATAACTTATGTCCCAGCAACAACCTGGGTAGAAGATAACTTATGTCCCAGCAACAACCTGGGAAAAGGATATCTTATATCATAAAACAACCAGAGAGAGGTAACTTATGTTTCTGAAACAACCTGGGAAAAATAACTTATTATCTCTTAACAGTTATAGAGTCAAACAAATCAGACTCATCTAAAGATTTAATTTCCTCATCTCCTATACCTTGCATTTCAAGAGCTTCATAAGTGTCTAATTCTGCTTGATTTTGATTTTCATCTGATTTTTCAAGCGCATTAAATTTTTGCATGGAAGATTGAATTTTTTATTGTAAAATTTTTTCACCATCTCAACTCATGGCTTCCGTTTTAAAATAATCCAAAGCAGAGAGGTTTCTAAGATGATAAAAACCACTAATATTCCTCTTTGTTTTCATATAAGATCCCTATTGGTCCATTTATACCTCTAATGTCCTCCAAATTTTTACTTTTTAGGTTAATAAATCAAAATTTTGGGGTTACTATCACACATTATGTATATGTAAGATATGGGACAATAAATGAGTATTTGAAATGTTCAAGCTGAATTAACTATCCGTTATAAAAGTTTATCGACTCCATGGTCATTGGAGGTTTCAATAAGGCCTAACCTATATCTTGTGTTTACTCAGAGTTCAAGAGAGGAACATTTAATAGATCCTTTTAGTAAATAATGTGTTGTTACTGTTTCAAAAAACGTGTACTTTTTAATGTATATTTTTTTACAGAATTACTTAGGAACAATGTTTCTTTTATAGAACAACTTGAATATAGGAAATAATAAAAATAAATAAAAAATGCTTTACCAAACGCTTTAATTTTTTTTCTTTTCTGATGACCATATTTTTGGATGACACAGTAGCAAATGCATAGCATTATAATAGATGAAATGAAAATATGCAGATACTTTTTACATGTACAAGTCTTAATGTTGTCTTGTCAGTAGGTTCCTCTTTTAAAAAAGCCTAGACATGCATCAGAATTACAAGGCTTAACGAATTTTATACCAGTTCAATTATTATTAACATTTGAAGATACGTATAATTTCGTGTTAACCATTTAGAAATTCATATTGATTTGGATTCAAGAAATGTCGAAGTCCTAATGAATTTGTCTGGTTTTTTTTTTTTATAACTTCATCATTCTTCAACAGCAGCAAAAACAGACGCTCGGCTTGAAAAAAAAACACCACCAGCCAATTTGTTTCTAATAAAACCAAAGCAAAAAAACATCTTTAAACTAGACGGGATACTTACCATGTTTACCCCACAAAACCTATTTACCATACAAACAAACCATTTCAAACTACGATGATATGAATTTTCTTCCTGTTTTTGAAAGAACGATTCTTTTTTTAGACATGAACGCGGCTGTCAAAGAAAGCACCCATTTTTCATTGTAATCGTAAGTTTACGTTACGTTTACAATCACCTTGCACTCGTAGGTAAAATCTTGTAAGTTAAATCTTAACGTAAATCGTATGATTCTTTGTGAAACGCTAGTACGTCAACGAAACAAAATATCTGTGAAATCGAATATTATATATCTCCACAAAAGAGGCGTGGCTTGTGAAACAGCTGTATTTACAAAGTGCAACCTGTATCTTCATCGGCAAATTTAGAGACGTGTAAGTCTGCAACATTCATTGAATGATGATATGATGATATATGATTCACCAATGCGCATTTTGTAAATAATTGAGGCCTGCCACTGCAAAAGTTCGTGTATACTATTCAGTATTTTCATCGGCAAGCCGCCACCTGATTGAGGAGTTGGGTTGCAGTTACCCTCGGGGACTTACAATCTACAAGCAGAAGTAATGACCCAGTAATAATAATACAAATATGAAATAAATGCGTATTCACCAAAAACGTCGTTTGTCATGCAGTGATACGTCTTACTGTTTACTGTTATAAAGTAATACATGATTTTTAAATCTTAAATAAATTTCTCATTTGTTTTTTTAGTATAAGCTTATGGTATATACATATGACCCTTAAAAAAATTTTTGCAACTAGCAAGCAGACACGAAAGTACACAATTAATGTTTAGAAATCGAAAGTGTACGTTTTTTTCATGACACTTTATACATATGAACGTCTCCATTATAACACGATATAAGCAGATTGTTCCTGGTTTTGTCTAGGTAAATACCCCACGGCTCATTTAAACCATCCTCCTCTCCTATAAGTCGCCTTGCATGTTTCCCATAGGGTGATATAACGACGATACTGTTATTTCCAAAGGATGCAACGTAAACATTGTCATCCTTGTCAGTAGTAACACCACGTACATCCTTAAGAACTGATTTATCTCTGTATTCCCAAACCTTCTCTCCTGTGATGTTATAACATGTGACAGCGTTCGTTTTAGGATTTGTATGATAAATTTTACCTCCAGAGGCTGTAACATAATTCCAAGTATCCATCTCTGGTTGCTCTAATATAGTGGATGCATTATCACCAAAAAAATCTACTGACTGAATACCTTTCTCGTGAGAACAATATATTAGCCTCCCTTGTTCATTTGTTATTCCATAACACAAATCTAAAGTTCTGATTTGTTTCTTTAGCTGCTTAGAAGATATGTTTATTATCTCGATTTGAAATGGACTAAATTTATGGGTAATTGCAATCGTGTTATCATCAATACAACTGACATCTACAGGCTGATTTGATACTTTTTTCTTACATTCTAATGACTCGTTCTCGTAAAGGATAATCACATCGTTATAATTCCAGTCCACAAGAATAATTTTACCGGAAGATGTGATTGTACACCCTGTAAACCTACTTGCTTTATTTACTTCAGGGATTTTAAGCTTTTTATGTGAAGAAAGCTTAATATCATTAATACTTTTCGCTGCGATGGAAGAGGCTACAAAGTATTGGGCTTGTTTGTTTTTCTCAGTCTTTATGGTAACTGTTGGGGAACTGGTAATGCGGGATATATTCCCATATGCTGCAATGGATAAAATGTCGGACATTTTGTGATCCTCTTTAAAGTCGATATCAACGTGTTGTAGACTTCCATCTTCCAGCAATGACACCATCAACTTTTCTGCATGTTCTATATCTGTCTTGATCTTTTTCATTCCAACAAAAATCTGTAGGTCAGATGCATACTTCTTAATGGTTGACACATTCCTTTCTACCTCTTCTACGGTTTTTGTGTGATCTAGAAGCTTAGTATGAATACGTTGTATCTCTGAGCTTACTCCCTTTTCCACATCATCCAAATCCTGTAGTATCTTTTGTTCGATACTGTCTAGATGTTTGTTTAATTTGTCGCGCATCGTCTGTATTTCAGAATGTATTTTCCTTCTTCTCTGTTGAACTTTTGATAAATTTTGTTCTCTGTCTTTTGTTATTCTTTTTATATTTTCTTTTAAGTCGTTCAGACTTTGTTCTAAATTGTCAAATGATACGGACGTTTTGGAAGTTTTAACAATTTCATCGAGTGTCGTAAAGTTGCATTTCTTGTGAGTGGTTGTAACACAATGAGGGCAACATGGACTTTCGTGTTGTAAACAGTAAAGTTGGTACTTGTTGTCGTGGTCGGAACAGTATTGTTGTACGCTGGCTACAAATGACGGTAGCTGCCTGTAGTTATCGACAGAGATGACCTCATGATTTCTCGTCGATTTGGAAGCATTGTGATACTTTAAGCATGTCGAACACAAACCTTCATCACATTCAGGACACCAGAATGTGGCTTCTGTCGTCAAGTGCTGACATTCACATACACCACATAATGAACTATTTGATGATGCCATAACCTGTAAAACAAAAAAAAAAAGAACAATTAAACATGAATTTACTGTAAGGTGTAAACTTTTTAGTACATTGATGAAGGCATTCCAGCAAACAGCCGAGATAAGTAACAGCAATAAATGTATTGTTTAATATATTAATTCTTTAATAACTTTTTATGGGAATATTGTCTCGTGTATATCCTTCAAATGCTTTATCAAAGGAAAAAAATAAACCTGCCTATTCTAGGAAAGGGGGCATTTGCGCAGAAATACCGCTGTTAAAATCATCATCGATAGATAAATTTCTTTTTATCATCGTTATCGTTCCCAGATAATGGTATTAATGTATTTGTCTGTAATACCTATTTCTGAATTACCGATTTTTCAGTCTTGATTTTTATAAAAAAAAAATTTCACTATAGCACTTGATTTATATCATTATTATGATAACTTGAGTGGATTTTGCACCCCGAGTTTTTAAAGTTACCCTTATCTTTCTCGTTATGTTCTCTTGGTTGTCATCTATTGACTGGGTATCAAAAGTAACACTGATCTCGCTGTCTTTTTAATGTGTAATAGAGAGAACAAAAAAATAGAAAATTAAAAAGACATTCCGAGTATCGTTCATAAAAGAGAGGCGAAAGATACCTAAGGGACATTCAAACTCATAAGAAATCAAATGATACGTATAACGTGGGCTATACTTTAGTTCCTGTTCGGTTTGATCAGCTCTTCAACATTTGTATAAGTTGGGTTTTTCTTCAAATATTTTGGCCTCGAACATCACTGCAGAGACATTTGCTGTCGAAATGCGTATCTGGTGCAGTAAAATTGGTACCCGTTAATATTATCATTTACAATAAGTAGCCAAGAAGAGGTATGGACAATTTCCCCTGTATGTGTTTCACTCACAAGGACAAACCTTAAAGATTTCAAAACGTACTGATATTTTAATTTAAAGAGTCTATATCATATATTTCATGATTTCACAACTATTTTACATATTTTAGTATATTCAAAGTATTATTAAGCGTTACATGGTGCTGCTGTAGGCCTTTTGATGCAAAATTACAAACATTCATAAATATTTTTTTGCATAATTTACCTCAAAAGATGTCCCTAACCAAAACAGATTTTTTTGTATTCAAAAGTAAATATACACTTTTATTTCCAAAATAGTCGATTTTGATTAACAATGATTAAGGATGAACTTAGAATTTTTGGGAAAATGCAAAAAAAAAAAAAAGCCAAAACTTGTCAATAAGTCGGTTTTGAACTATCTCCAGGCAATTATAGTTTGATCATCTGGTTAGAAATAAGACATTATATTGTTAGAACCTCGAAGTACATACACAGAGCTGTGACATCAGTAAAGAGGAAAAGAATTTTTGAAACGATACTGGTGTGGAAAAAGCAGGAAAATGGCCATACCACGTTGAAAGTGATTGGGTAACGCCATCTTTTAACAGAGGAGTTGGAAAAAAATCCCAAAATCGCCAAACATATTTTATCCCTCGATGTGTTTTCTAAAAAGTAAAATCTTGTGTTTTAACTTAATATTAAGTTTACCGTTTAAATATTTATACCATTAATAAATTTTGAATTTCGAGATGAAAGTGTGCCTTCAATGAAAAATTTCGAGTTTCTAGAAAAGAACAGCAGACCGGAAAATTAGACCCGGTTGGGTACGTTTTTAAATCTTTATTGCTACAACTGAATACGTTGTTTCTTTGGTTAACGAGTATAATGCAAATCAAATTGTATATCTCTCTTACAATTTTCTCGGCAAATACTACCACAGGATTGAATATATTGCAACCAGAATCACTGAAATTGCTGATGTCACAAATGAGTATATCTCACGATGTCGAGAAATTCCATACAATTAAGTGCTTGTTTGTAACGTAAAGGCATGCAATATTAACTGTTTGCAGACTGTGAACGGTTTTCTGAAGTGAAAAAGGCCCACATTTTCTAACCGAGTATCCTGAGTCAGTATAAAACTAGAATACAAACGATCAATATAGAGAAACAACAGTATAAATGTAAACAATGCATGCATTTACCTGCTTCTACCACAAGGAAGTTAAAAGAACTATAGAAATTATCAGTATACATGTACTATGTTTTACCCAATCGCTGACCTTCTACGATAAGTAAATCTTGGTTGATATACTGAACATCTGATATAATGCGACATTTAAAATCCGTCAAAGCTTGTCGACATAGTATAAACAGTAAGTTCAGTATATCACATTTTGATAGTATCGTTTTGAATAATTTTGACCGAAACCTCGCGTATAAATATTCTTTGGATGCTTTAGATAAATTGTGTGCTTTTGATAGTCTTGTTAATTCGATGGACAGTTTTGACTTTTCAACTTTTTACACTACACTTCCAAACAATCCAATCAAACACAAGTTTTCCTATTTAATAAGATGGTCGTTTGAAAAATCTGATAACAAATTTATCTGGTGCAACTCAATGAATGCTCTTAGCTGTAACATTAAGTTATGTTTGGATTGATTTGTACCGATTAAAACAAAATATAATGTTGAATTGATAACCTTTAAGAATGAGTTTATTTAAAGGGTCGATAAGTTTACACGGATCGTATCTAAAATTATGAGCTCTATAAACAAAATCACCATAAAAATCGAGATGTGATATCCGGTTTGCCTTAAGTTTTCTACGGGTACAGCCAAACTTCAAAAACCAATTTTTTTTTATCTATGAAAGAATTAAGTAAAGGTTTTAAGTAATTTGTGGTAACGAAGTCCCTGACTATATAATTTACCAGTGATACATAGAAATACGTTCATTGAAATCTAAAACGTCACTATACAGACACGGGCATTTCCACCGAGCTGGAATATATAAACACCGTAAAATAGGACTAGAGGAACACCCCCGTCCAAAGTAGGGAACGAAAAATCGTCCTTCTTTCTGCCGTAAGTTCCAATGAGTAACTGAAATATCTAAATCTAAGAGAAGACATTTATTTCTGTTTATTTGAAGGTCCATTTCTCAGATACTATAAGAAATACAAATGTAGGTCAACTATATATCTGTACTTTTTGTACTTTTTTGTTTATAAGCCTTTCATCTTTTCAATAAGTTTTGGATTTCAAATATTTTGGTCGAAATGCGTATCTTGTGCCGAAAAATTGGTACCGTTAATGTTATTATATTGGATTAAAAGAACGATTTTAAGATGTACATGTCCGTCTGGCAGAGCTCATTTGATTTTGACATAATTTTACGGTTATTGGTTTTTGCTAAAAAAAATTGTGGTAAGGTCTGCTTCTCAGATACTTTAAGCAATAAGTGAACTAGCTACTTGTGGTGTATAGAATGATTGTAAGGTGTATATATCCGTCAGATAGTGATTGCAATGAGAAAACTATCCACCATAGACTAATTGACTTATAGATGTCAATTTATGATTTTAAAGTAATTAAATAACATTGAGATTAAGTTAACAATATGATAAAAAAACATAAAGGTAGAATAAATTCCTTAAAACATTTCTGTTATTTCTTTTTTGAGAAAACACAGAGATGTATACTTCGAAATATAAAAAGCTTGACCCACAAGAACAAATTTTGTAAAACCATCTGGTATTCAGAAATATCAATTAAATGACCCAAAGCAAAATAAAGCTACTGATTCACTTTTCGAGTATATTGCTAGAAGTGATTTACTCCCATTTCCAACAGATGAAAATCAAAACTTTAAGAACTTTATAGAAAATCTTAACCCAAAATTTCAAATTCCAAGTGGCGAAGCCGTAAACATCTCTCATCTAAATTGATACAAACTAAAGCCAAAGATGTACGTCAAAAATTGTATGATAACCTTCAGTAAACTGATCACATTTGTTTGACTGCTTCCATTTGGTCTAATAGGGCAATGGAAGGATTTTTAAAATATCTTTTTCATAGTTACCACGATTTCAGTATAAAATGTTGTATATATGTTTCTTTTGATAATAAAATTTATAAAATGTAATGTGTAATATAATGCCATTACTTTGGTAAAGTAATTGTAATGTAATGCATTACTTTCCAAAATACATGTAATTGTAATATAATGCTGGTTTTGTCCAAGTAATTTTAATGCATACCTGTAAAAAGAATACGAGCAAATGCAATTAAAATATTGCGCGCAATTGTAATTTTTTTTATCCCCAAATGCGAGCAAATGTATTGCGCCCGCTGATCACTGATTATCATCTTTAGTTGGAGTTTCTCATCTTTGATAAGTTTATATATAATATAAGCAATAAGTCAACTATGTAATATATATTTGTTGTATAGAAAAAATATAAGGTGCACGTGTAAATGTCTGTCAGGCAGGGCTAAACTGATCTTAACCTCATATCCATGGTTCATAGGTTAGCTTTAAGTTTTTATGATTAAGCCATTCTTTTTTTCTCAGTTACTATATTAATTAGTTATACACTACAGATCAAATGGATTTTGCAATTTCCACCTGTCCTTGGTGGCTTTAGTTGAAAGCATAAAAAACATTCTAGACGGTTTCTTGTACCCATCTTATGAAGTGAAATTGCTATTTCTTTTGCTTCATTTAAAGACTTACAATATAACTTATTAACATAAAGAAATAACACTGTGTTCAACATTGCCACACAAAAAGAGAATACATACTAGAATGGTATTGGATAGGCTGCTCACCATGGACGAGTGGAAATAGAAAAACCAACACAAGCTGTAGTGAAGGTCAACTTTAGAATGGTTTTAATGTGTACATGTCTGTCTGGCAGGGGTTAGACCTCGACCTCATTTTCATAGATCATTGGTAATATTTAGTTGTTGTGATCTCTGTAGTGAAACATTGATCTTAAAAATATTTAGCATAAAATCCAATCATGACCAGTAAAGTAGGCGAGACATTTCAGCCCGTGCATGCATGTTAATGTGTAAATTTTACAAAGAAAGTATATATGTATGTAAAAGGTATCATATTCTTTTTTTAAAGAAGGTGCATGTAGTTCAAATGAATATTATGTTTCTATTCATCCGCTTCACAGTTAAATGTAGGCATTTTTCAGATCTGTTTCCTGCTTCCTGTTATCCGATATTTTGAATTATGAGTGGGGCTATGCTTAGCACGACAACGCAATAGCATGTAACAATGCGTGCATTATTGCTTAAAACAAGTTCAAATGCACACAAAAAAAGAAAAAGAAAAATTGAGACAAATAGAACTGATAAACTTTTTGCATATTTCTAAATGTTTTCTGCATGGTGTGAGCATCTTCTAATCTTTGTAAGTAAATATATGTCCTTAATATTTTTCTATTTTGGGTTGTGTTTTATTTTCAAATATAGAAACTAGATTATGCTTAAACACTATAAAACAACACCGGATAAAAACAAAACAAAATTTTAATAGAAAATGATAAACAATTAATTAAGTGAACAAAAGAATAAATAAACAATTAAATAAGTGAACAAAAAGAAATCAATATTTCATTAAATCAGGAACAGACTGTTTCACTATCTTCAGCATTTTGGCTACAACAGCAAAATCGTTTGAACCATTTTCTAAAACGCTGAAATCTTCCTGCAGAATTTAGAGAGTATTCAATGGTAGAATCACTGTGTTTGCGACCTGGTATTTCAATCGGAACTGATTTTGTAGGTTCATTGAGCAGAAATGGGTTCACTGATTCAGCTGCTTTATGATTGGTGGATCCAGGTATATGCGCTCTTGTTGTCTCATGGCTTTCTTTTAATGGAGTAAAAAATGCCGCTGTAGTGTTGGTCTAGGTGGGTCTTCAATATCACTGAATGTGTACCATTCACTGTTGAATGTTCTTGTCGTATCTGGATAGTCTAAACCAAAGAGAAATTATGAGAATAAAAGATTGCCTTCAGTTTAGTTGTATTTGAATCAATACAAAGTTATGGTACAGATCCTAGACCACAATGTTTCTGGAATAATCGATCAGGTACGGCTAAGACCGGAATTTTGACAGGACAAATGAAACATTTAAGAACATTAGATCCAAAAAGATAGCCTATATTATATAATATCAGTGTTGCAAATTTCTTCATTCATTCAATTTTCACAACTAATAACAATTGGTACTGGATAAGTTTTTTTTATTTTGTTGCTATATGTATATTGTGAAGTGCATTCACTCATCGTGGAGTGTTAAATGCATGATTTCATTTCCAATTGATTTTATAAAATTAAATAAACATATAAAATTGGCGAGAGACTTGTGTTTTCCCATTAAAGAGAATACTTTCTTCGTTCAATGTATAGTGTTGGTGTCTGTGCAAAAGAGTGACAAGTTGAAACTCTCCAAATACCCATCAATCTTTGTAACAACAAACGAAAAGATGGATGTTTATGACGATTTGTAAATTGAAATGTTTGTATAGTATGGTGGATCTTATTACCTTCTTCTGCATGGTCTTCGTCTTTGTTATCGTCCAACAATATCAAATCTAGCTTTAGTTCATCTAGGTCTATCTGCTTAGTCTTTAAATCAGCTGTCGTCGATTTGCTTCTCTGGAAAGAAAAATCTTGAATTTAAATACTATTTCTTCATAAAAATGAAATATCAATTGTGTTTTGATTTTTAGAAAATTGTAAGTGGTCGATGCCAAGATAACGAGACAGAATTCATATGAATAAAATGAGATTCGGGATATACACGGGATAAATACGGCAGTGAAATGAGGTACGGGATATATCCGGCAATGTAATGAGATACGGGATATATATACGACAATGAAATGATATACGGGATATCTATATGACAGTAATATATATATACGGCAATGAACGAGATACGGTATATATACGACAGTGAAATGAGATACGAGATATATACTGTCGATTCCAAGATAACGAGACAGAATTCATATGAATGAAATGGGATACGGGATATATACGGCAATGAAATGAGATACGGGATATACACGGCAATTAAATGGGATACGGCATATATACGGTAATGAAATGAGATACGGGATATATATATACGATAATCAAATGACGTACGGGGTATATCCTGCATGAAATGCTATACGGTATATATACGGCAATGAAATGATATACGGTATATATACG